CAGATCATGTACCTTCACCGCGTAAAATGATTGATTAAATTTTTCATGTTTGTCGCATATATACAGAAGTCATTTCATAGCATCTGAGACCCTTTGCATTCTGGTCAGTCATGGACGCATTCAGTTCATACGTGAAAACAGACCCAGTGCATTGGTGCCCAATATACGCTTGCAGAGAAAATAAATATCCAACCGAGCGATATCTAAGAGCAACAAACATACAGGCAAAAGAGAGAGGTTTGTATTGTTTCATTTAGTTCTCCGTTCACCGATGTGCCTTGTTATCTACAAAGTGGCCATTTCCCATGGTTTTATAAGCTGATTCTTCAGGTAACTACAAGAAGAAGACCTGGTTTAGTGACAGAAATTCGGGTTGACTCTCAGAACGAACTTAAGTCGAATACTAATGGAACACAGTCAGCTTTTGTTTGCTCGAAATCTTCACTTACTTCCTCCGTTGTACTTCAATAACTGCAGAAGCGTCGGTAAATGAACGGATGTTGTAAATATTGTGAAAACGTTAACTTCTATGACAATGAAGGGATTCCCCATTAGGTGATGCGAAGTTCCTTGATGGGTGCATACTTCTTAGCTTGCCACGGGCGCAATGCGACTCCTCTCTGTATTCTTCAGCCAAACGCCTTAATTAAGGTTGGCGTGCTCTTAACCCAAAAGGAGCCATTGAGATGGTCAAAAATGAAAGAAGCATTTTTTCACGAAGAATGAAATGATAGCGGCATTGTGCGTGCTTTTTTTGCACACCATGTGCCATTTTTATTGCGAATTGAGGGTGAAGTCTAATGGCTCACAAGCAGTGGTAGTGAGACTAAAGAGTGAGCCATGCAGAATCGCGCCTTCCCGTTCGCGTTCAACTTGTTAGAAGGTGCTTGAATTGGTCTTCTGCCACTGGTTCGAAAGGTGTTCTTATCAGACTGCTTAAAAAATTAGGCCATACAGGTAAACAAAAATCGCAGAATATCCACGGAGTGCATGGTGATGAGTGGGGCGAAGCGTCCGTTCCTCCGTTTGTTCTTACTTCCGTGCGTCCGTCTGTGTGACCGTCAGTGCACCCATCCATCCGTCCGCACGTCCGTTCGTGCGTCTGCCCGCCCGTCCGTGCATCTGTCTGTGCGTTTGTCCGTGCATCCGTCCCCGCGTCCGTCCGTGCATCTGTCTGTCTGTCCGTCCGTCCATCTAGTCAACACCCCAAGTACCGCCATCTCGCATCTTTTCATCATATATTCAGCATGTAGAAGTACCGCCATCCAGCGGACATTCCAAGCACTAAACGAGAGGTGGCGCACGTGCACTTTCTTACGGCCTGCGCTTCGTGTCTACTTCCAAACTTTCACCACCTCCAGTGCATGGTTATATACTAGTTCACTATATTCATGGCACTGCAGCCAAAACCTCGCTAAACCTTGCTAAAACCAAGGAGGTTACGCCCAGCGAGTTTAACGTGGCAACCCTTTCTGGTCAGATAGTGCTCACAGTTCGTCCTTCTGATACTAGATTTTTTTAAAGTAAGCATCAAATTTAAGGTAAATTTTTATTGAAGATTAAGTCACCAATACTCGTCGCGGTAACTTATTTCATAAACAACTATCTTTTTATTTACTATTGATGTGCATGGGTTTCCTCCTCAATTCAAATAAGTGCGCGCGTGCCGCTCCTCTAGTTCAGCCGTGGAGGTGGCTACCTACTACTACTACTACTACTGCTGCTACTACTACTACTACTACTACTACTACTACTACATACATCGCGGACGCCCGACCCACGGAATACGGAGCTTCGACCCTGGAAGAAACAACAGTTTCCGATGAGGTATGTTAAATAAAGCAAGAGAGAAAAAATTGGCCCCGTATCTGCATGTAACCTGCAAATGTCGTTAGTCTTGCGTGTGGAGAGGGTGAACAAAACATTTATTTGATGTTCTGCGCAAGAAAATCGGTGAATGGTGTTCCGGAGGCGCTGCGTTAGGGTGCCTCGAGCATGCAGCGTAGGCGAACGAGCGCATCAAGTCACGTCACACGTGAGACATGAGCGCCATCTGGTAGTTTCTTTTGGAAAACAAAGCGCGTGGCCATACGCGCCCGTCTCAGAGGTGATAAGGTGTAGAACGCGAAGCGACGGGTAGGTGCCACCACCATCTCGTCTTAGCAAAGCCTTGGAAACACTTCCTGTTCCGTGCAAGATTTGCATGGTAAGTGCAGCGTGATAAACGTTACCGTCCTTAAAATTACTTATGTATGCGTTTTCTAGTAAGAGATGCATATGCAGAATATATGCGCGTTGTCATGGTGCCCCAGACATGTGCAATAATTGCTTTTCAATTCACAATTACACAAGCATGAACGCTCAACCATGAGCAACATTGGTGGTCGCTGCGGATGGGGTCGGCCGTTTCAAGTACCCCATGCCGGTAAGAGTGGACAAACAGACAAATGTACAGACATACATAGAGACAGACCAAAATTTTTGCGTCCCCAAGAAAGACTATCACCTTTAAAAATAAGACACTGGCTCATATAGACCTATAATCATTACACTTGTTCTATAAAGTTTTACGATGGAAGCAATATGACTATAGATGAAAATATTGAATGATTGATTCGTGGGGTTTAACGTCCTAAAGCCACCATATGATTATGTGAGACGCCGTAGTGGAGGGCTCCGAAAATCTCGACCACCTGGGGTTCTTTAACGTGCACCCAAATCTAAGTACACGGACCTACAACATTTCCGCCTCCATCGGAAATGCAGCCGCCACAGCCGGGATTTGATCCCTCGAACTGCGGGTCAGCAGCCGAGTACCTTAGCCACTAGACCACCGTGGCGGGGCTATAGATGAAAATATAAACAGAGCTTGGTTGTATTTATATACAGTATTAAGGCATTGGTGGAAGGTTAGTAGAGAACCCTTTCGTTCCTAGAGATTACATAAACAATTAGAATAGAAGCATAACATCAAAAATAGCATTTGTAGACAACAATGATGCATAGGTGACGATGGCGATTAAAACATTCTCAAGGAATGTATTGAGATACGACGGTATACAGCTTTTCATGAACGGCGTGCAGCTCTTGTAACCCGAAAAATACATTCTAGGTGGAATGTGAATGAATAAATAGGAAGGAGGAGGTTTATAGTAATCGAGGTGGGTAGGCAGGAATGTCGGTTGCATAGTTTCTCACATTAATACCTACAGGGAAGTCTGGTGCCACCGTTTTTGCGAATTCCTTAGGGGATGTCGTTCCCGCAATAGGAATGATGATATAAGGTAATGCGATGCTTCTGTTATCTGGCGTTCAGCAAGCTTCGGTTAAAGTGGTAGCTGTAATAAAGAAGAAGCACACCGGCGCAAAGACAGCCGCATTGAGTGTGCAGCAGATGCTCGAGCCAGCTAACTGTGCTCGGAACTGTATACGCGATCAGCCAACAGCTCTAGTGCAACTAATTCCCTTTTTACATTAAACAAACCCGAAATAAAACAAATTGTAATGAATGGAAATATGCGTACTTATGCCGTGTGAACACTCTGCCGCAAGTATTTCGTCATTACGTGCTGTAATAAGGAAGTTACAGGAGTTGGAACAACCGTTCCAGCTGGTTTCAAGTTCTCGCGCGGCCTCGCCACGTAAGGAAGGAGAAGGCGTAGCCCGCCGTCATGACTCCACCAAGGTTAGCAACATGGCACGACGTCGGCAAGTGACGTCATCAGCGAGCTCGATCAGTCGCAATGCACTTCCGCTTGCTGTGGCTCCTGGTTGTATTTTGTTTACACTGTCTCACGTGGTCCTGCTTTGAATGGCGCGCTGCGCGCGTCTTGAAAGGCTCGTGCGGGAGTTATAGAGAGATAGGTTGGGGGAAAGCTACAAAGGACATGCATTGTTGACCCACATTTTGTCATGCGGGTGCTAAGCTATGCGAGAAATTTACGCGCGACACCTGAATGGCTGAAACCGCCTCAATGCAGGGCCAAAAATAAGGTGCACTTTCGTAGTGCTGGGTGGAAACAAGCACCAAAGCCTCCGAGATTGCGGGCGCGCGGCGCGTTTAAACACGCGGCGCGCCCGCTATCTCGGAGGCCATGCAGGAACTGACGTCAACTCGAGAACTGTTCGTTCAGACCTGGTTTATATAAATCAACGAGCTCGGTGGTACGTAGTTCAAGCCGCTCACCCACGCCATTCTGGGAATATTGTTTTACCATCTCAGCGAACTGGAACCTCAGAGATTTGGAGAGAGCAGACTGGTGAGGTCAGCCATTACACCGACATAGTACTCAACAACACGTATTGTTGATCGGTGCCTCAAATGTTTCGTGTGGAATTCTCTTTATTTGCTCCGCTTTGTAACATTACCACTGATACCGATTTTCGCAGTTTTCATCGTTGTTCTCAGCCATCCTGAAAGCCAAAAGTTTGAGTGTGGACCATACTGCCCAGACCAGGCAAGCGTTTTTTTTACATTTACTTATACAAAAAAAAAACGCACGGATTTTCATGCGAAAGCAGGCTCAACGAAAACCTTTTCGTGGTTTTGAGAACCTACTCAAAAACTTCAGAATGAATGAAAAAGCTATGCCTGCTGTAAAGCTTAAGTTCACGACATTTCTCTCTAATTAATCATGTATAAAGGTAATGTTATTTGAGGATGTGCGGTACCAATCAATTTCACCGATTGCTGTTCTCAGAAATGTCACAGCTTGAGAGCCGTAGTACATGTTTGATCTCGCACTATTAGACCATGTCCGGAGAATGTTTGTAGCTGCTTGTGTACACATTGCGGAGTGAAAGGTAAGGTAGCCGATTAATTGAAGTAAATTGCAGTGGCTAAATATATCATACGCTTACTTTACGGGGCATTAAGGACTGCTTTATGCCTTAGACGAAAATCAATCACTGATGGTTTAACTCGTCATTGATTGGTGTGAAATAAAACTGTAACTTACCGAACTTTTCATCCTGTTTTTACAGGGGGTGACTTATAATTCTTGCTGGGCAGTTTGCGAATCGAGTGTTAATGAAGGCTTGGACCCATTTAATACGAAGAACGGGCGATTCCGAAATGGCACACCATGCTGGGTGTGTAGTCCTCTTTAAACACGAAAGTGTTTTATGCCGGCTTCCACCAGGGCGCTGTGACGTATTTCCGTCACGGATACGACGTTGTAAAATATTTACCAACAGATATTGCAGAGAAAAATGCGACAAAGAAAAGTTCCGCAGCGGGGCGTCGAACGAGTGACCTCACGCGACGCTAACCACTATGCCAGAGAGTGACGCTCCTCCAACGTGTTAAAGGCTAGTTTTTTACGTGCGCCCGTCGTGCCATCTGCCACGGAGCCCGGCAGATGGCACGACGGGCGCATGTTCGGCGCGCGTGCTCGCAAGGTCGTCGTGCCACGCCACCCCGCACGTCGCTGTGCAAGCGCGCTTCTACATAACGTGGTGAGAGCGCGTAAGATGTTCTCTAGCGTGGTGACCCACTCGCGCGCGCACTTATCTCGAGATTCGGGTGCTTCGTACCTTTTGCAATGTGCTTCCACCGCAAGTTTGCTTTGAAGGTACAGTATTTAAAGAGAGCACGGGCATCATTTCTCTCATGGCCGCGTTTGCGAAAGGGGTGCGCTGCTCACACACGAAGAAGTGAAAATTCTGACCATTGTTCTCGCTCGTCCTGTTCATTTCGTGCATCTTTCGTTCTGTTTGAGCAGCGTGCTTCTTTAAGTGTCGAGCTGCGACAGTTGTTCGTTTGTGCTCGTCCTTAGTATGCTCATTTCGTGTGTGCTTTCTGCTTGAGGTGCGCGCTGCAAGTTTCGAGCTGCTTGCCGTTCTTCGCGTGACATTGCAATTGGTTACTGCAGCAATCATTCCTTCGCCCTTGTGGCGAACAAATGCTGAACTCTTTCTGCGAAGACATGTTTCACTTTCGTGATATACCAATTCCTAAAAAGGGGAATAGGCCTCGTGTTTTTTTTTTATCTCACACTTAATTCGAGTCTTATCTGCGCTCATGAACGAGAATGCTGAGATGCACTAGGCGCTGTTTCCTACTTGTTTGAGGTGGCACACAAAAGTGCGCATGCGAAATGTGTTTCCCCTCGTAGGATTATTCAAAATGTTACCAGTGCTTTGTAAGCCTCTAAAAACCCATTTGGTCTATCTTCAGTTAGACGAGGAAGAACGTAAAATTAATGTCATTTGCTGAGGCAGTGAGAGCATGGCCAACAAGTTCTGTAAAAGCAAAATGCCTTACCGCTGATTGTATAACGCAGTTAAGTTGAAAGCAATGAGGAAACGAGAGAAAAAAAAAAAACGTTAAAAAAGCCGTAGTGCAAGCTTGCTATAGACGCCCGACTCTAAAGTTTTGCGGACACGCAGCGCCACCTGTCGACGCACTTTTGAGTAGTGCAAAGCCCGACTCCCTTTCACAGTTTGCTGAGCAACCAGATGCAACTACGGCGTAAAAACAGCGATTGAGCTAAATATTAAGTGTATTTGAGCATTAAACTCTTAGAAAAAGAGCTACGATTTTTTCTCCGCTAGTCAGACGAGTCACCGAACCGCCGTGAATTGCTTGCTGGTTCACTCTCCTTAAGGACGGCGAACACAAGAGCAGACGCAACAGCTCCGCGCTCTACGAAAAAAAGACACCAGCCGGCGCTACAGTTGCGTTGTGAATTGCTACGGACGTTAAGGACTTCGTTTTACTGTTTTCCGCAGCTTTCGCGAAGCATAACGGCGAGAGCACTGTACGTGGGCTGTTGTGTTGGGTAAGTGAATCGCTCGGTTTGTCTACAGCCGTTCGCGTGAGAAAGTGTGATAACGTAGGTCGCCTATTATTGTTTCGAGTAGCTTTGATATCAAGGGGAACTGTAGTAACTTTAATTATGCAGCTTAACAGAGCCTGTGACCACGGTGCCCACCGTGCAGCAGTAGACAGGTGACGCGCACAATAAACATCGCTCATGCCGCGACGCCGATAACCTGAAGCTCTACAGCATAACGCTTGAGGGCTTTCAAGGCTCTAAGTTCCGGCTTTATCTATGAAATGCGAACATGCACGCCATACAGGTATATCGCAAAATGATCGTAACCGCAATAAGTTCTTTTTTTTTTTTTGCTGTTGGTCTCCGCGATTGCCGGAGCTATCTCGGAGGCCTTGGTTTTGCATTTCGTTGTACACCAGAAAGTGGACACGCAGGCATCCCCGTTTGCAGTATATACAAACGGATGACAACCGTCAACAGAACATTCTATCATGCGTAATAAAGCAGATCAACGCACGCACAAGAAACGAGGGATCAAGGGAGAATGTAACTGCAAATGCGAAAATCGCCAGGGCTATTTGTATACTTTGTACTACTGATGATAAGATAGATTGCTCGTGCATGCACTTTGTCGCTTTGGCATCACGTTCATGCCTAACTTTAACGCAATTACGCGTTACAGATTGAACGTTGGAGTGCTTGCCGTGAACTCGATGTCATGCGATGCTCGCTTACACTTAAAGTGCCAGTTGCAGTACGCCGAATTAACTGAAATATATTTCGCAATGTACCCACTGTTTGCGTTGATGTGCTTCCTACTTTTCTGAATCCAGGTTGGATTGAAGTAAGAAGCTTGTCAGGTCCTTGATTTTATGGAAACCGCGCTTCAAGGCCAACGAAAGAGGAGGGCCTATGCACGTTCACTTGCGGATAGCTTGCTTTGCACTACCCATTTATGGCTGGCGCGTCGGTGGTGGCGCTGATGGCCGCGTTTTTCGCAACGCCGCCTGGGTAGAGTTTAACGTCTATAGACGGTTTTCCGCAGCGGCGAATGGACGCTGCCACGTTTGAACACGTGATCTAATGACCTTCTCCTTTCCACTTCTTCGGCTGGCCGATTCGGCGCCGCTGCTCCCAGGTTGCAGGCCAGCAAAGAGGGCGCAAAGCATAGTCCGTGCCGCCAGTTTCTTTTTCGTCTTCTTTTTCTTCGTTTCTCTTACGCACTGCGGCGTGTCGCCTTATGCCCGACATAATTTAGGTGCCTTTTTCTTTCTTCAAGAATGACCACCACCACCGTTTTTCGCCATAGGCAGCAGGGCAACGCCCACCACACGCCACATCGCGGTCGCGCCGCCAAGATAAAGGCCATGGCGCTTCGGTGTGGTGGCGCCATCTAGTTTCGCATAAACAAAGTAGCTCCGGAAAACGGTCATAGCCTTCATGAAATCAAAATATAAATTTCTCATAAATTTCTCAGAAAATTCTTTTTTTCCTGACTATGATTGAGTAAAGTTTAAAAGAACAACAATAGCGAAATCTACCTACACATGTTTGTCACAGTCAGTACTTGCAGTATTGTCATTGACGAACTACACCCTTTTGATCTACGGTGCTCATAACAACGCTGTATCGGGCCGCAGCATTTGCACGTTGTAGCCTGATCTTATCAGCGCAGGAATACTTGATTGATTTATATTTGAGGTTTAACGTCCCCAAACAACCATATTATTATAAGAGACGCCGTTGTGGAGGGCTTCGGAAGCACGGGAATACTTATAATATGAGATAGAGGCTCTAGTCACCCATGGTGTTCACTACAAAATTGTTCCTCCACAACACAGTGATAATCCTATCGTTTCATGGGACGCCATTTGGACACCGCAGAAGTACACGCTTTTTGCATTCTGGCATAGATTTTATCTGCACCGCACGGGTTAAGGGGTAGTTTGCATGAACCATTTTGGAAGGCACGCCATACGCGAACCTAGTTCTTGTGCAATGGAAAGTTTTGTTTCTTAGAAGCTGAAAAAAAATATGTGCACAGTATACCTGCGCCCGCATAAATTCGATCGGCTGTTCCAAGTAGCAGCCAAAATTCATTAAATTCAGTCGTGTTATACGGAGTCTCGAGGTATTCGGTTTAGTATGTTCATAAGTATGGTTTCGTAGCTGGCTAGGATGTAAAAACAGCGCACAAAATAGACGAAGATGGAAAAAGAGATGACAAGGCGTTGAACTCGCAAGTGAAATTTCTTAGAAGGAACACACACTTATATCAGGCAGATGACCTATTCACATGGCGTGTCATGGAGTCTTTATCTTTAAAGAGAAATGAAAAAAAATAAAGGAGAGATAAATTGAATGTAAATCAGGTGTTGTTTAAAAGCTGCCATTCTCATGCAAAGGGGGGGGGGGTATATAGGGCAAACCGGATGGTGCGTCAACGTTAGATTGAGGGAACACTTAGCCTTAATGACGACTAGCGTCGGTTTGCACTTGCCAGCTCATTGTAGGGAGTGTGGCTGCCAGCCATTGGCGGACGAAAGCACTTGTTTGGGAATCGGGACAAATACACTAGAGAGGTGATGAATGCATTTTACTTTGAAAAGGAAACGAAAGGTGCGTGAGCAAACCACCTGTTTAGGAACTTAGATATCTGGGCTCAGCGCTGTCAGGTTAAAGAGATTGTTAGTTTTTTTATGGACTGTGTCGCATGTTTTTGCGAACAGGTTGCTCCTTCTCTTTTTTTCTCGGGTGTTTACACGTGTCTCGCTTTTCCCCCATGATTAGATCCGTTTTGTGCCCTGTTTGCTCAACAATAAAGAGTGCCCTACAGTCCACCACGCGTTCGATTTCGGTGAGCTCATCACGCACAGATATGAATGATTGAACGGGAGACACTTCCAACGATTCGTCGTCGTGCAGAACTACGTCGAAGACGCCCGAAGTCCATTGGTTATTTCAGATTGGCCAGACGCACACAAAAGAAAATACGATGCCACATGAAAAAGCTGCATAAGCGACGATGGGCATCTTTTTGCGAATACTTGAATTCAAGAAAGCAGCCGTCGCTAATCAGGAAAACTGTGCGTGGTCTTCTTGCAACCGTTGGTGAGTGCTACCCAATAAAATCTCTGGCACTTCATTTACGCTGCGAAGAGATTGACGTCGCAGAATCTGTCTGCCAAAAGATTGCCTGCGGGGCAAATTCAACTGGGACGAGGACGCCCGTCCCTTCTTTATTTTCACGTAATCCCCGACTGAAGTGTCCATTTTCAATAGAAAAAGTAGACGGTGCACTTGCTTTGTGCT